ACTCTGCAACACCTAACGTCCGACACTAATTACGGAAAGAAGTACCTGAAAAAACTGTGGAGAAACGCATTCCGAGGAATAAAAAATCTTACCGATATAATAGATAAGTAAAGCGACATTTCTTAAAGCGGTATAAAAAGGGGACCTTGACCGGTGCCAGTAAAGTCGAACGCGTACTCTCGACGGACCTTCTTTTTAGGATCAACTACCTTACTCCATTTCTAGAACGAAATACGGTGGATAGATTTTCGTTTGAGAAAGTAAAAGTCAAACTACCGGTTAACTTTTGGGCGCGCTAGTCCACTCCCGTCGACACACTTCCACTGGAGCCGACAGGGTCTTCCTCTGCCCTTGTTCCGGCCTCCAATACGTCGCTCCTGTGTGTAATCACGCCCCCGGAACGGCCCCCGGATCTCATACTTTGTCCCGATGAATAAGTTTGTGGTGTTATAAGTGTCGAAAGACGGTGTGCCCACTGCACTTATTTTTGTTGTGTTCCAATTTTCTTTTGGAAACCTCAGATAAAAATCAACGTACCGGAACTACAAACCGAACAGTTGTCTTGAAAATGAGACATGAAGAGCATGAGGTTATTTGACTGACAATTTAATACACATTAATTCCATTATAAAATACACTTGTAATATAATATCTAAGTTGTCTAACCAACGAGATTATATTTCGTCTGAAGTAAAAGTAAAGTACGATTTTTGTACTCGTGACACCGACAGTCGCTATTCTTGAGGGCAGAAGACAAAACGTGGGCCCAGTATATTTACAATCTATTTTAGATCTTGGCTGAACCATCTTATACTATTATTGTTGACAAAGGAGGACCAACGTGAAGGGGAGTCACAAAATACGTACACACCCGTTAGAAGGTCTATCTCAACTTAACTAAACCAAATACTAGAAGTTAGTGGAGGTTTGCGAAAAGGGCAAAGAGATTGTCGACGGAGATTGCGGAGTCGTAGATTACGGGATTGGGGGCGGGAAATAGGGTGGGAGGGGGAGTAGTCGTGGCTCGAAATTTCGGACACTTAATCTCGAATACCGAAACCCAAGTTTGAATATACGGCAAGTGTTTTAGTCGGGCGATGACCTAAAAGACGGATGAGGCTAGCTATCAGGCGACCGTTCCTCCCCAAGTAACTAAAGTCGAAAGTCTCATATGAGGTCGACGATTAAGATAGTCACTCGAAATTTTCGGGAGTCCGACTCAACTTATTAAATACAGTTCTGTTTTCCTGTCTGATAATTTCGCTCTTTCGGCACAACATTACGAGGAAGTTGAGTCATATGTAAAGGTGTTACACTCTATAACGTTAGGTGCTCAGATGACTAATAAGAAGTGGTCCGCCTGAGGGACATACCAGTGGCTCAGTGAGAGTACCCGAACCACACTATCGATGCTACAGTATATGGGATACGATCATGAAAATGTTTTGTGGTAGTTGTCTGATACTTGAGTAGAGGTAAGTAGATGTACATGAACAATCTCTCGAAAATAGGTTCGTTGAATGAGTTATGACACCCGTTTGGGGTGCTCCGTTCGTTAAACCCCACTTCACGAGGGTTCGCGCTGTGTTGCCTTGTACGACTGCGTCACCCCAAACTTGAGACGAGGGACTATTGTGTCTTGGTGGATGCGTGACCAGGTGACGCGGTGTTCGGAGGATAGTTTAGTTGTTACGAAGTGAACGGATCAAAGTCACCTTGGGAAGTGGAATTTGTGAATGTAACAGAAGTAGTCAGATTCCTCCACACGTACTGTAAACAATTCACTCCTGTGTTGACCCTGGTGAATGTTTAACAACGCTGTGTGTTGGACGTAACGGTCGTTTGAGTGTCGTCGTGGTATTTTCCCACACAATAAATGTGAGGGATCAAACGCTAGATCTCCGTTCAACTTTACGTTTCGAAGGAGAGTATAGTCATACACAACCGGAAACCCAGGTTACTTTTGACACTTTTACCACGGTAATTTCTAGTCGAAGACATAAAAGTACACGAAACATTTATTGATTTACAATACACAAAAAAATACACTTCATTCCCAACAATTGGTTAAGTTTTGATTAATATTACTGACAATCCCTTCGTTTACTACTGTACAAATCAAATTTGACGAACTGTCTTTAGTGTACTTCGTTTTTCCCTGTAACTCAGAGTAATATTTCACGTAGAGATGTTGAATCATGTTGGTCATTTGATGTTATTGACGTTTTTCATGTTTGATGACGTTGAACGATCGGGACATCATAATGGTGAAGAAGACGGAAATGACAATGTTTTATGGTGGTTACCGTCGGTCACTATTGTCCAGTTGACGTACGTAAAGTACGGGTCTTCACACGTCATCGTACTGGTTTCACAAGGTCGTACTGAACCTCAGGAGAAGGTGTGTCCTCTGGGAGACGGTACTACCGGTTGCCGGTCTCTCTTTCTACTCTTTGTGTCCCGGCAAGGACGGTCAGTCGGAGCATACTAATTACTGGAGGGTTAATCGCGGGACACTGCTGTCCAAAGTGCCCAAGGAAGACGGGTGTGGTGGGCTGATTACTATAGAAGAAGCCGTACAGGAGTTGTCGAGTTGAGGGGAATCTTGTTGTTGTTGTTGTAGGAGTTTGACCCTGCTCTCCGGGACGGCTAGGTCTCCTCGTGTGTACGCAAATAGAGGTTAGGAAGAATATAGTCAACACACTAATAGTAAAACACAGTAACCCATGTGTTCGACTCCGTGTAAAGTGTAATCGCCAACATAACTTCACGCAACTGAACTCTAACATGGGTTTAGTTCAACATATACAAGTGACAAAAAGTGAAATGAAATTTGCGTACATCTGCTGTTTGCCTTTTACAAGGATGATTTTCTTGTATTTTCCATTGTATAAACGTCGAATATCTTTGAATTTTAGTGCTGAATTCTGGTGTTTAATATTACATTACGAGTCAATTATAATCAAAATAAAAACTTCGACCCGCATATTTATAAAGTTAACTTTTCCTAGGTATACTAGGGAATTAGGTAGATCACGACATAAGATTTGTAAATTGTTCAATGTTTATTAAAGTCAGGTAATAGTTTCTCCCAATCTGTACTAATCAAAAAAAACCCCTCCTAAACTTCTTTTAGTCTTAGACGATAGGTAACTAGAAGGCTTAGAGAAATTCAGTCTTAACAACGTTAGGTTGGTAAAAAAAAACAAGACTTTTTTTTAGTCTTAAGACTTTTATAATTACACGGGATTAGGAGAGCATGTCCCGTCCGCCTTGTTGAACTCCCTTTTATTTAACTACGATAATTAAGGGACTTAACGAAATTAGTTTAACGATAGAACTCTGACCGTCATTATCTGAACTCTGAAAGAATACGCCCATTGGCTACAAATCAATATATGATTGGTTGATCAAACTGTCAGTCCAAAGGTACGCTCTCATTCAGTGCAACGGCCAGGGCATTCGATCAAGGATGTAGAATACCTTGGTTGAAGGATATTCTACCCAGAAACCCAGAACAAGATCTGATTGGTTGCTTTCTTTTCTACTGTAACACAAAACCACTGAAATGCGAAGTGCATGGACCGAGAAGGACAAACAAATCAACGTAACACTGTGATATTACAGATCAACAACACAGATACCATTCTCATTTATTCATTTTATATATATTTTACTACATTTTATTTATATAATGAAATCGTTTTTTTGTTTGTTTTATCTGAGTGTTCCAGGGTATTCTCTGAATACCTTGAAGGCCCTGACGGTTCGCCACTGCCATAAAGGGAAAAAGCCACTTATAGAATAAAGTAACATATCTGGCACATGAAACTAAATCACCGTGAAACATAGATAGATTTTCTTTTCATGGTAAGTTAAATCTGCAATCCTGCATTTTGGAAAGCGTGAGTTCATAATATTACGTAATGCAGGCAGTTAAAAAAGCATACACTCTGTTTCCAAGATGTTTAATTTGAATCCTTTTCAGAAGAGGGAAGTTCTAACCACTCCCTTGATGAGCATGTACAGTTTTACATAAGCACTCTTTTTACTTTCCGGAATCGTCACAGTCGGCTGAAACCTGTCAAGTTAAGATGTATGAGCGGCTTTATAAAACGGACATCATTTCATGGTAAAGATGGGAAATGTTATTGCTGTTTAATTGTTGACCCTTTGGGCGCAATTGCCAATGTCTTGATTCCGGATTAGCATTCAGGTTACACTCATTTATTTATGTGTACACCAAAGTTGTGTTTTGAAATCTGTCTCCTCTTTTAAACACTGTAAACAAAGGCTATCAATCATAACCCTGGCAGCTGTAATTGCTACCAGAGAAGAAAAAGTATTCTCTCTCTCTGCAGCGAGACATCGCTTTGTGCCACAGTGTTCTGCGCCAGTGTAATGAAAGCAACAGAGTACCGTGTTTAAATGCATGATAATCCATTTCCATGATTATGTGTTTTGTTAAAACGGACTCATTTCATAATTATTGTAAATGACGTAACGAAGTTGCCTTAATTAAAAAGAATAACACAATTAATTTCATCATGTTATTTTATAATCGTTAAATATGGCATGATTTAATACAGTGTGTTTTACATGTTAAACCGATATGCGTATGTGTTTCTTGTGCCTAGGAACTAATGTTTGTTCACGTGCTGGTACTGCGTGTTTTGTTGTTACACTGTACAAGTAAGTTTTAATGTTACGAGAGGTCTGTGACAAAGTTATACAGAAAAGGAACTAGATTCATCTCCTTTCACGACAAGCGGCCAACGAGGTATTTGTTTTACGTTTTCATTTTCTTATTTTCATTCATATGTGTAGCACAATATGCTAATATGTTTGGCTATGTATACGTGTCATTCGGTGTTGTAGTTCTCACGGCGTAACGGAAGAGGGGAGGCTACAGGATGAAAACTCCAAGAAATAAACGCCCGTTTTAAAGAACCGACCTGTGTCTGTGTCGTGAAAAGAGCTACACATTGTGTGAAACATACCTTTGGCAATTGCAAACTGATGCTCGATATATCTCATGTTACGCCTTGAATCCTCCAGTTTTCGCTCCAAGTCTTCAATTTGCCTCTGCTGAGCTTTGTTCAAAATCTGCACCTGGGCAAGCTGCTCCCTATCAGCAGTTTCTGAAACACAGCACAACATTTATGTTTACACATCACTCTCTTACCCTCAATTAAAACACAGTAACGATTTTTCAGCAATGGCATTTAAGTCAGAGTAGGTTGTATATAAGGAAGAGCAACTAAAACACGCCTGTGAGACTCACGCTGGGCAGAGTCGAGGAATTCTCTTTGCAGATGTTCAAATTGACCTTCTTGGTGGACGGCCTGTGTGTTGAACATCTTTGGCTGATGAGCAGGATGGTGAGGATTGTAGCTGGCCGTGTGATGATCCACTCTGTCCAACGCCCCCGACTTTAAATTCAGAATATCAAAAAAGAGGAATGCAGTATGTTTGAAATAAAAAGTATTACATGTTTGATAACTCAAAAATAAACCAATTCAAGGATATACTACTTTCTGTTTTTTCCAACACATAATGAAATTGTAAAGCATGTCAACGACTGTTGGACTTACGGGTGTTAAGATGTTCATTTTAAATTATTAGAATGAAAGTGTAAGTATATTTCATACACAATTAATTACATTTTAAAACCAGATGTATGAAATAATATTAGAAAACATCTGCAGTAACAAAATAAAACAAACATACTCACAGGAAAATGGTTAATGCCGTTGTGAACTCCGTAATGTTGATCGTCCCTGCGTCCCGCCTCTCCATTAAACACCACAGGGTTATTAGTGCCTGGAGGATATGGTTTGGACTCATACTCATCTGCAGAGAAATCATTGGTAGATTTCTCGGTGCCGATGCTGGTGTACGAATAATCCCCCTGGGTGAACTGATGGTCCTGGTTCCAGGTTTGAGGTTGAGGCTGAGTTTGAGGGTCATTGATCTGAACCGCTCCATCCTGATAGGTGTACTCGTCCTGGGAGCGTTGATCATAGTCAGGTTCACAGTTCTTCAGAGAGACAGTGACAGTAAGAGTGAGGTTTTCAGCTTCACAACATAACTTATTATTATTATTACTATTATTATTAAGAGTGATGTTTTCAGCTTCACAAGATAAAATATCTATGGGTGAAACAGAAATAACAACCTACCTGTTCATGAGAAGTTGGCCTTTGTTGGGTCCAAGTGGAATGTGGACTGAGAGGATGAAGGCAAAGTAAGCATATTTATACACTCAACCAACTTAAGTATGTTGATAGTTTTGGTCCACAGCCAGAGTATGGTTGCAACAAATTAATATTTTCATTCTTAAGTTATTAGCTAATTATTTTTCTTTGATTAATTGTATTTAAAAAATGTCCATTCCAGTTTTGTGTGTGTGTGTTACCTGTTGCCAGTGTTTTTATTGGTGCAGGTAGTGTACTCCAGCTCTGGGGAGGAGGAGTCTATACTGTCCTCCAGCATGTCATCGGGCAGGTCGGTGAGCAATTTGTGCAGCTGCAGAAAAATAGCACATGGAAATGAGTCACCGAGGTTGCTCAGCAACTGAGTTATAAAGTAATGCAAATAGAAAAAAAATCAGCACAGAAAAGAAATCACTGACAGCCTGAGAGACAGAAGGTGCCAGAGAAAAAATCAACCAAAAAATGTGTTTGTCTTAACTGGAATAAAGCTGAATGTTGGCACTGAAAACACAGTGTGCAGTTTTTACAGTTCACAGTCATTTAGTTATTCCATGTGTTGTTTTTAAATCAGGTATTGTTTATGGAATTTATCAAAGAAAAGTCTCAAATATTATCTGGTTTAAATGTGGTACTTTTAGATAAATCAGTTATAAAAAGGTAATAGTTAGTTGAACTGTTTCTATTACATTTGCTCATTATTCTTTTGGTTCATACAATCAAAAATTGAGATACAAAACACAGACAACGAATTTTAGTAAAACATCTTAGCTCTTAATAACACAAAAACAACAGGTTAGATCCACTTCTGCGTCAGCACCAACTGACCAGGCTTGCTTTTTATAACAGGCCATGTGTTAGCGGAGCCAGCTGAACTTACTTCTAACAATGACTGCTGAATAGTCCTCAAATCCTCCACTGTGTCCACAACCAAAGGACCCATATTGTCCTGCTTGGAAATTTAACAAAGATTGAGGAGCCAAGCCGCAAAACCTCCTAGCCTATTCGTTCTGAAGAGAAGACGTTCTGTGTGAAATATCCAAAACGTGCCTGGCATGTTGTTTGGCTCGCTGCGGTATTGCTGCATTTTGCTCCCAAAGGACTCCATTGTTTAGACAAAACATATAGCAAGGTTAACTGGAGCATGAAACATTCCAATTACTGGTGGCAAACTTTTTCCACTTGATCAAGTTCTGTATAGGAAATAGGCTATCCCAAAAAAAAAATCTATTTGAAAACGTTTTTTTAAAGTCCCATTCTTCTGATTACTAAGACATTTGGCTTTCTTAAGTAACTCAAGTACAAATAAAGCCGTGCACAGAAACAAGGTAACCTAAATAGAGAGAAAGCAGGGAATCCACAGGGCAGAACTAGTTTCTGTGTGACACACCTGGAAGGAGTCAATAATAGCTCAGGTTCACCGTGCAACAGATTGTAGGCGTGAGTACTAAGACAACATGCCTGTCTAGCTGGGAAGCTGCGGTGCTTGTGAAATTCTGATTCAAGTGCATGAACTTAGAAGAACAACAAAAAGGACCTGACAAATGCAATGCTCAACAAAGGAGCGCAACTATATTTTAAATAGATCAACAAGGAGAGGAACATAATATCACAGAGACAGGTAATGCCTAACACACTGCCTATACCACATGCCCTGGATATCTCCTGTCGTCTGATGTGCTTGATAAATACTTTTTTGACTTAACCAGCACGAGCTCAAGAAATCCCACTAAGTTAACAGCAACAAAAACACAGCAACAAGTGACACAAAAATATCGAACAACTTGGCACATACACAACTGTAAAACAAACGTTATCCCAACAACTTTAAAACGCTGTAGCTTTGAATCCTACCTCTTGCTCTCTCGCATAGTCCTCCTGGTCATACTCTTCTTCTTCATCATGCTGGATTTGCAGGGCAGCACTGTCAAAATCAATAGACATGATGCGAAGCCTGCAGAGGGTTCCCTGGGAGAAGAGCAGAGGTGGAAGAAGTACTCAGAACTTGTGCTTGAGTAAAAGTAGAAGTACCAGAGTGTAATACTCTGTTACAAGTAAAAGTCCTGCAATCAAAATTTAACTCACGTAACAGTACAAAAGCATTAGTATCAAATTATACTTAAAGTTCAAAAAGTAGAAGTACACATTTTGCCGATTGGCCTTTCAGAATAATATATACACTATTACATGTTTTGATTATAATTATTGATGCATTAAAGTGTTATCAAAGCTAGTAACGGTGCAGCTAGTTTTATGCTACAGAGGGTAGCTTGTGAATGTTACTCCAGGTGTAACTCAAGTCTTATTTAAGTATTGATTATATTTCACATCGTTGATCCGAATCTGCAAAGCAACTAAAGCTATTGAATAAATGTATTGGAGTAAAAGTACACTCTTTACCTCTGAATTGTAGTATCAAAACATTGAAATACTCAAGTAAAGTACAAGTCCCTCAAAATTATACTTAAGTACAGTAATTGAGTTTTCTTACCTCTTTTCAGTGATGTAAAGTAACTAAAATAAGTAGAGAAAACTCAAAGAGGGAAACCACTAACAGCCAGGAAGAATATTAGTAAAGGTTAGTGTTACCGATAAAGGATGGTTTAATAGGCTATCATGTACAGTAAAGTGAACGTAAGTTATTAACACGTCGCATCCACTTACCTGTTGGTATAAATGGGACAGCAGTTTCCTTTGATGAGTCGCTTATCCTCTTATTTCAGGGACGTTTTTAGCTAACCACTAGCCACATTACTGTTTACATACATTACAAAGCAGCGACGCTAACTTTAGCTAACTAACTTGCGTTCATATTAGCTTGCCTTAGAAAACAACGAGCCCGATAAACACCTAAAACCGAACTGACCATGCTTTGGAAAACTTACGCAGAACACGTTTGAGTAAATACGTGTAATCGTATGTCAATAAAAAAAGTTTATCATCTGTTTTGTGGTGAATCTGTCTGAGCACTATCTTGTTGGGGTTACTTTAAACTAGCTGTTGGCTAACTCCGGTTAGCCGGTCGGACGTCCTCTTTTAGAGACTCGCCCACTTTGAAAACTCCCGCGCACTAGCAGCGCCAAACCACTGGGTCCTAAAGGCAGGACACAGAGATTATATTTATACACATACATGCATTATAACGATTATAACACCGACATACGTATACTAGTTTAATTTCCATTGTCGGTAGAATGGCTTGCAGGATATAAACTATTTCCTAATCATTATTGTTGCTGCTTCGATCTGCTTCGGAATTGAGACGCTATCCGGGACTCCATGGCAACAGCACGTCTAGGTTTATGGGAAGTGTAGTCACCTTGATCCTTAATAACAAAGCTGGAAACTCATATTCAATATATTGCATAACAGCTGTTACTATGTGAATTATAATAACGCTGAAAATGGGATCTATGATTACATTCTACATTTAGAATTACATTGCACATAATCCAAGATATTGCTTTGGTTTTCTTCTAAGTGAAAGGATGTAGATTCTGTTGTATAGAACTCTTTTCATGGAAACAATATCGTTTTTTTAACATTGTATTCCCATCTTTTTGTAAAACAGTGACTTAAATATTGAAATTATTTTGTGTTTTTTTTTTAAAAACCTATAAGGACGGTGCAAGTTTGTTTACTGTAGATTTATTATATATTTGTAATCACCATTATCACTTCCATGTATTAAAATGAATGAATTATGTTCAGTTGTTGAGTCTGAATGTTTGTACATTTCAATGTTTTTAAATAAAGATTTTAAAAAAAAAACGTCTCTTCTCCTCCCGACACTTCCGTGTTTTTGTACTTGCAGCATAAACTGCTTCTTGATCAGCTCCTCTGTTACAAACAGGAACTTGCATTCTATTAACTGAGCTGAACTCAATTTTAAGAACTGACTGCAGTTCAGCTCTTTGACATCCGGGATCCTCTTGTGACAGTCAGCTGATCGCGGTAGGCTCTGCAAAGCACAGATTCTGTTTGACTGCAAGAGGTACGTCCATAGTTATTTTAAAAAGAAGGTAGAAATGGCTGCAGACCCACCGAAGTTAAAGACAGTGATTGCTGCCAATGAAAGGTAAATAACAGAAAGATGTGCTAATTTTCAGTAAGACAGGGGATTTGGGTAACACATGTGATACTACTCTTTTCATTTCTGTATGTGTATTTCTTTACACAGGCTGCAAAACTTGAAGAATACTTTTGAGACAAAGTATGGAGAACCTCCTCTTTTCTATGCATGTGCCCCTGGAAGGGTCAATCTAATAGGTAATGTTATTGTATAAAGTATGCTTTAGTTGACTATACTGTAGTTGTGCCTTATAGGTAAGAACTGTCCCTTTTAAGACAGTTATTGCCAGTTAAGTAAGTTAATTACAAAAAATGCAAATAAACTATTTTTTCCTAAAACAATGTTTACACTTTGCTAAGATGCAGTGTTAAAATGTTTGTATGAATTACTACATGAATAGCTTCTGCTAATGACACTCTCTTTGTTCATTTATCTCATAATTGACAGGAGAGCATATTGATTACTGTGGCTATTCTGTTCTTCCCATGGCCATTGAACCCAGTATTCTCGCGGCTGTCTCTTTAAACAACTCAGGGAAAATCACACTGGCCAACGCAAATCCCCTGTACACGTAAGCTTGATCATTCACATTTACATTGACTGAGCCTGTGAAGTTAAGGAGTTTATAATACCTTTACAGCATCCATCATCTGCTTGCAGGGATTTCACTGTGTCGTGTTCAGAGGACATTGCCATTGACAGAGATAATCCAAAGTGGTATTATTACTTTCTCTGTGGAGTAAAAGGTATAAAGGTAAAATACAATTATTTCTCATCCGGGAAAATTAAGTATACTGTGGTAAAGTGTTGCTTTCCACAAATGAATGGAATTAATCTACCTGTTTGTTTTTTTACAGGAGAATTTTGGGATTGCTAATTTAGCGGGGATGTCGTGTGTCGTAGAAGGAACCATTCCTCCGAGCTCCGGCCTCTCCAGTTCCAGTGCCTTAGTTTGTTGTGCTGGGCTCGTAACAATGGAGGCAAATCAAAAGTCCCTCTCCAAGGTAAATGCATGGGGAAAAAAACATTTAAATTCAAAGAGCTATATATATTGTATGTTCATTTTTAGTTTATTTATAGCACATTTCAGCAAAGGGGCAGTTAAAAACTAGAAAGCAATTGAACAACAAAAGCATTGAGGCAAAACAAGACATTTATAAGAAGCAATAATAAAACTTACAGTGCAGTGTAAGAATATTTTTAATATTTCATAATGTATATCTGTAATGGTCAACACGTGGCTGTTGAAATTCAGGTCTGAGTCAATGACCACTACAAGATTTTATGAAACAAGGCTCTCTTATACAAGGAATTGTCATTCCTACCTTCAAAACAAACCTATTATGTGCCTGTCTTTAATGCCCTTAGTCGATATGAGAGGGTATATTGTCAATCTCAAAAGTTTTATTCTTATCATTTTTTATTTCCAGGTGGCACTGGCTGAGATATGTGCCAAAAGTGAACGCTACATTGGCACAGAGGGAGGCGGCATGGACCAGTCCATCTCATTCCTGGCAGAGAGAGGAACTGTATGTCGCTTTACTTTCAGTACATTTGGGAAAACAATTATCAGGATCATTTCTTCATCAACATTTTAATACAATAATAGAAGTTAATTGAAAAATGCAAGAATAAATGTCTGTTTTATTTTCCCTTATAAGTAGTGACATGAATTATGGTTTGTTACAAAAAATGTTTTAAATCTCTGTCAGGCCAAGCTGATAGAGTTTCAGCCTCTGCGAGCCACAGACGTAAAGCTCCCAGATGGAGCCGTGTTTGTGATCTCTAACTGCTGCGTGGAGATGAACAAAGCTGCTTCTGCTCACTTCAACATCCGAGTGGTGGAGTGTCGAATCGCCACGAAGGTACAGTGATGCTCTCCAGTGGTTCTCAACCTGATCCTTGATGGGCAAAGGGTGATTTTTATAGAAAGCAAGTTTATGACCATGCCTCTGTCTTTAAACGTGCTTGCTGTTAAATCCCAATTTGCTTGTACCTTTCTTTATACTTTATTGTGAATATACATCCTATGATAAGAGTCTTTAAACGGGTTTAGAACCAGCAATGTGATTGGACAATGCTGCATGGTGAATCTGAACTTTAAAGAAAACAAATATTGATTGATGTAATGTTTATAAAGAAACCTGTCAACCTAAATATTTCGTCCATAAACGTGATGTAATATCTCCAAATGGGGTTTCTTTTTTAAGCAATAAGGTTTAGTGCAAATCTCAATTCAAAGCAACCATAAGAACACAGAAATATTAGGAGATGGATGATCCTTTTAACTTTAGCATCATCTGGCATGAATGAAAATCACATTTTCTCATAGACTTGTTGTCATTATGCCCCCTTTGTTGAAGCAGTTGATTTAATTAAGTAAATAACCTGCATCTGTGTTGTGTCACACTTGCCTGAAAACATTTAATCATATTTTCAATACGATGACTGTGAGAGAGTTTGTTGTTTCCTAACAATTCTTATGAATTGAATTCTGGAGCAAATATGTGTGATTATCAATTTCAAGTGGAGAGACGGGTAAAAAGTCTTTCTGTGTGTGATCTGTGAACTCAGATGCTGGCCCAGGCTCGAGGTCTGGACTCGGGCAGGATGCTGAAGCTGGTGCAGGTTCAGACGGAGCTGAAGGCCTCCCTACAGGAGATGCTGGCTCTGGTGGACGAGGCGTTGCATCCTGAGCCGTACAGCCGAGAGGAGATCTGCAAGGCGCTGGGCATCACCCCCGAGCAGTTCTCCACAGAGCTGCTTAGCGCCAACACTCAGCAGGGTGAGAAACACAAACACATATATGAGTCATGTTTGTAGTTTAATGAGTGGATTGACAGGTTAGATAATGACTAATTAAAAGGTGATCTCGCTTAATATTCATCAAATGCTGGTGAAATAGGGACTTTTGTAATCTAAAGACATCGTTTTTTCCGAGTTCGGACTACTAGACGGAAATGTTAAAAAGCGGTTTAGGTTCTGGTTACATTTTCAATTATTCCAATTTTTTTGTATTTGTAGCAATAATAACTTCAACTTTGATCTAGGATATAACGATTAAAAATATTAATACAGTTTTGTGATGTAACACTAAATAGCATCTAGAATTAAAGTTATTTTCAAGTAGGGGTGTAACGGTACGAGACCGTCACGGTCACAGTACTATATCCATGTGAGAAAAATGTCACGGTACATACGATTAATTCACACTCATTTTCAACTATCGGCTGATAAGTAGCCACCAATTCTAAGGTTTTATTCTATTAAGTTATTAACATTCATGTGCCTAAATATCCTCAAAAGACAAACAAATTACTCAAAAAGCATCATTACATTTGACTGATATTAAAGCTTGTGTTCAGAAACTCCAGTAACACCAACCAGATGAATGACCTGACAACCTTTTCTCCTCTCTCTCAGAGACACACTTCAAGCTGCACCAGCGAGCCAGGCATGTGTACGGTGAAGCTGCGCGGGTGCTGCAGTTTAAGAGTGTGTGTGACTCTGAACCTGCTGAATCCGTCCAGCGACTGGGAGATCTGATGAACCAGAGCCATGCGAGCTGCAGAGACCTGTATGAGTGCAGCTGCCCTGAACTGGATCAACTGGTGGACATCTGTCTGTGAGTACAGCCTACTAATACAGACTAACTCTCAGGACAGACAGTATGGGATCAAATTAAATATTGACCATTGGAGTTTTAGGGATTTGATTAACATTACGATTAAGGAAAGAACACTTTAGGCACATTTGTAAGTTGTGTGGCTGAATTTAAATTTTTAGCTGTTTCAGTGTCAATGTCAGGGTCTTGGTGTTCTGCAGGTTTGCTTCCACTTTAATACTTTTCATACCAACTTAACTTTTACTGTTTTGATGCACCAAATCAACATAAACCATTATATAG